TACTAGTTATGCTCCAGAAAGTAAACTGGAATGCAGTACAAGCTGGCTTAAGAGAGAACAGATCGGTGTATAAATCAGAGAGGCTGCTGTCAGAGTGGCCCGAGTGGCCGAGCTTTTGTGTTCAGCCTGTGTGGTAAGGCCTAGAGCTTTACTTGGATGGAGCTGGAAATTTGAGTAGTATAGTCTCATTTGAAGGGAGCTCAACAGCAATTAAGTGAACATTACTTTGGAGCATAAATTCATGAGTAAAATTGCATGTTGGTTTTGTTGGGGGGAAAAATGGTGTGGCAGGTCTTGGGGAACGCTTGCATTCCTCCCAAGCTGTTCAAAACGGCAGTTCTTTGAGAGCTGGGAAGTGCCTCTGGGCAGGTCCCACAACATTGCAGGGACAGTCGGGAGGAAGGCGAGATCTGGCGCTGAGTCCTTCACTGCCCGGCAGCACTTGGACCATGAACTCACTTGACCTTCAGCCACAACGCCAGCCTCCCTGCTTGGCCAGTGAGGAGGTAAAGAAATCACGTGCTCCTGTGTCACAGCTGTTAGTGACGGAGCAAGGATTTGACCCAAGATTCTTTGAGGCCAAATTCCCTATTCTTTCTACGTTTTTATAAGAAAGGAAAGTAACTAATATATGGAAAGAAGGAAGGTTAAGAAATAAATTGGTGTCGTGAAACACTGCTTGTTCCCAGCTCCACGTATGTTGAAGGTGGTTGTTCTGAGTGCCGTTGTCAAGAACTTGCTCTTTCCAAGTTCACCAAGTTGCAGCAATCTGAGCCTTTTTCTCTACCACTCCCCAGTGTTGTCATTTCTGCCACCATAACTCAAAGCGGTCAGTCCTTCCCTGCTGGACACGTCCCCCTCTCCCTGTCGTCTATAGTGTCATGTCCTGATGCCTGTCACTGGGCTTAAACTTCAACAGTAAGGATAGATAAGAGAACTTGCCAATACTCACCAGCACACCCTGCGTTTTCATTAAGAAAAAAGAAACTCTGTCCTCTGGGTATAAAGTTAGAAGAATTCAGTCCTTGTCACTAGCACACTGGGGATTCCTGGCCCAGCCGCATTCCCCACTGCAGCTGTCCCTACGCTCCCCCGTTTCTAAGCCCCACTCACTACCTTCACTTGCTCCTGTGACCGGTGGTCACCGTGCCGGGCCACACACCCCTGACCATCTGGATCTGAGCCCCCGAACTCTGCCCCTCTTGGCTCAAATTTCTCTATTCCGAAAACAAAGAGGCGGCCCTAGATTGCCCTCCCTCTAAGCTACCCCAGTACCTCACACTGCCTCACTGGGGGGGGGCTTGTTCTTACATTCCAGCAGCCCCCAGCCTCCGTCCTACCTGCGAAACCATTTAACAGTGCTAGCCACCTCCCAGTCTCCGACCGCTGAGGTCTTGCCTCCATGTTCACTGTCCATGACCTTGTGCTGCTCGGATCCCTTCGCCTGGGTGCGCTGATGAGTTTCTCCCCCTTTGCTCCTTTTGTCTTTTGTCTGGGCTTAAATAGAGGTGCTCCCCGAGGGTCTGCTTGGCCTGTCTTCCTGGCTCCCGCTGATCTCTCCCCGGGGATGCCAGCTCAATCCCTCGGGCCCAGCCCTGACTTTCCTCTGCAATATCAGCCCCACATTTTCAGCTTTTTTTTGGCTCTAAAGTCTCCCTGAAGAACGTATTTCTTATGTCTTCAAGCACCTTGGCTAGAATATGGAGCTCATTGCCTTTCTCTTGGTGATCGTGCCCTCTCGGGACCTCACCTGACTTCTTCCCTCTTACAGCCGCATCGCAGTCCAAGGCCAGATCCCACTCAGCCTCTGTAAGACCTCTCAGCAATTTGTGCCTCTTCGTGCTAATTGCCACTCTTTACTTCAGCTACTCATTACTCTTGTCTAATATTATAATAACTCCCTAGCAGGTCTTGCAAATCTATCCTGAATATAGCTACCTGATGAATCATTCACATGCTCCCAACCTTTCTGGTGTTTTCCCATGGTTCAGTAGAAGGTCCCGCGTCCTGGTCCTGCCATTCGAGGCTGTCCACAGTCGGTGGTCTTTGGCCCTTGACCTATGCCTGGTTATGTTCTTCTTTCGCTTCCCTGTAGGACCTGCTATCCCTGGCTGGGCCTGTGGGAGGGTGCTTGCAGGTTCTATGAGAACTTTGTTTCTTTAACAGCTATCTGTATCAAAAACCTCAATGTAAGAGCTAACAGTATAAAACTCTTAGAGATGCGATCTCTAAGTTACTCTTGTTAGAAAAACTGTGGTCAGTGCCACAGCTGCAATATAGAAATCATTCTGTAGTTGCTCACCTCCTTTCCTTTGCTCGGGCTGATTCTGACCTGGAAAGAACCTTTCCTCTGATTTCACATGGCTTAGCCCTCTCCACAATCCAGATCTGTCACTGAGCCGTCCTTGATTCCTCCAGCCTCTGGGTGCCGTGCATCACTTTGTATTTGTAGCTGCTGAGTCCTCCTAGGCTGGCAGTTTCTTATGGGCAGTAACAAGGTCTTAGCTACAAGGAACAACAACAAATACCATTACGCTTGACACATGGTTGATATTCAGTGAAAATTTGAATGAATACACAAATGGAAGAGAGAAAAATATACATTCGTTCTTGCCTAACTTTATTTTTTTTAATTAATTTTTTCCTTTTTTAAAATAAAAAAAAAATTATCTTTATTGTTGAAAGTATTACAAATGTCCCCTTTCCCCCCATTGATCCCCTCCCCCCTGCACCCATCCCCCCAGGTCTTTACCCCATTATTGTCTATGTCCCTGAGTTATGCATGTATGCATATAAGTTCTTTGATTAATCTCTCCCCACCCACTCATCCACCCCTACCTTCCCTCTGAGATTCCTCAGTCTGTTCCATACTTCTATGTCTCTGGATCTGTTTTGTTCATCAGTTTATTTTGTTCATTAGATTGCATAAATGAGTGAGATCATGTGGTATTTGTCTTTCTCTGACTGGCTTATTTCACTTAGCATAATACTCTCCAGGTCCCTCCATGCTGTCTCATAGGGTAAGGGATTCTTCGTTTTTACAGCTGCATAGTATTCCCTGGTGTAAATGTCTGAGAAGATACTTAATATGATTTCAATCTTATTGAACTTGTGGAGACTTGTTTTGTGTCCTAACATGTGGTCTGTCTTTGAGAGTGGCCCACCTGTACTTGAGGAGAATGCCTGTTCTGCAGCTTTGGGGTGAAATGTTCTATAAATGTTAATTAAATCCATCTAGTCTAGTGTGTCATTTAGAATCATTGTTTCCTTCATTCTTACCTAACTTTAAATTGCTTAAGGGTAGAATTTGGGTCTGATTTTTTTTTTCTTTCTTTCAGATTTATTGAGACATAATGTTATGATAAATACAATTGTAAGATATTTAAAGTGTACATCGTAGTGATTTGGTAAATGTATACGTATACATTGTGAAAGGATTCCCCTATCTAGGTGATTAACACGTATGTCACCTCACAAATTTATATTCCATTTATTTATATATATTTAGGTGAGAACATTTAAGCTCTACTATTAGGAAATTTTATTTCAATAAATACTTCTTGAGTCAGTGGATGGATAAATAGTTGATTATGATATGAATTTTCTGAATGCTGTATTAATATATTTTACTTTTAGTAAGTTAATGTAAGGGCTCTTACTACAGCTAAAATATTTTCAAAATATGTTGCTCTCTTGATTGTCACTGTTAATTTTTATCAGTGATTATTTTTTCCTTTAAATTTTTTCTTAATTTTGACTTGAACACAGTGGCATGTTGTGTATTGTTAGTTTTACAGGGGAAGTTAGAAAAATAGGTTCCCTTTTTAAGAAAAATGTGAAAAGACTTTCTTTCCTATGTCTTTAGCTCCTGCCTCTGGGTGTAGGCAGGGTTCTAGGACTAGCAATTATTTCTACAATAGTGGTTGAGTGGTTCCTTTCAGAGTCATGGCTCCATCCAGAGACACATAATTTGGATGCTTTCAGCGGGAAACAGAGTTGGGCAGCTTTCATTACCACTGCTGGAGCACAAAGGGTTCCTCCAGTCCCGTTAAGTGGTACTGAGTTACCCTGCCTCTGATGCATATCAGGAGGCTAACACTGTTTTGTTTTTTTCCCATGAAGCCTGCCTGCTAGTCTTCTGACCACCTTTCACTGGATAATGCTTGATTAGGCCATCAGTTAATTAATAGTCGTTGCTTGTGGTCATGTTACTTGGTGAAAGCCTAAACAGGAATGAAATGACTAGAACTGCCTGAAAAATATTCGTGATCCTGTGTGCCTTTGTGACCCTGGCTGCCTGAAGCTTCATTGCTGCTGGTGGCTTTGGTGGTGGCGTCTTATTTTCTGTGTCTTGTTTTAGTTTTGTCTCTTTAAAAACGAATTGACAAGGATTACCTTGGTTAGTACGATTTGATGGAAAAGATAACAGATGCCTGCGTGTGCTTTCTCGGTGTCATTCTAATGACCTATGAGAGAGGAACAGCCCTAACCCACATAAAGTGGTGAGTCACCTACACAAAGCCTAGATTATAAAGTTGCCTGCATTTGGCAATAAATAAATACCTACAGGAGGGTGAGTAGAGTCAGGAAAAGGAAGTCAGAAGATGGAAGGAAAGAAATTTACTTTCAGAAAATGCTCCAAACTTATAGGAAGCAAGAGAATTTCTCTGGGATATTAGAATATTAATCAGGTCCACTGAAGTACCCAAAACCAACAGCCTACTTCCCCTTTTATGAAATATGGGGGCACTGCGCACCCATATACCCCAGAGGCACTTGTTTCTCTAGAAATGAGCCAAATACTCCCCATGGCCAGCTGCCTGAGACAGGCCGTTCACCTGCCCCTGGACATTACAGGAGCTCTAGTCTCGCGGGTGGTCATTTTTATGTTTTTGACCCGCTCTCAAGACTTTTGAGCAGTGGCATGCGTCCATCAGATACGCCTCCGTCTCGGCTTGTCTGAAGTAACTAACTTTGTGTGCATTTTCTGTGTCCTTCAGAAATGAACGCACCCGAGTATGCTCGATGCCTGTGAGCTCCCCGATCAGCTCGCGACCTTGGACAGACCCGGAGAAGAAAGGCGCCTGAGCGGTGGCCCCTGAGGACACGCGCCTTCCCCGGGCCTTGCCCCGCTCGCGGCCCACGATGGAGACGCTCTCGCAGGATTCGCTGCTGGAGTGTCAGATCTGCTTCAACTACTACAGCCCCCGGCGGCGGCCCAAGCTGCTGGACTGCAAGCACACCTGCTGCTCCGTGTGCCTGCAGCAGATGAGGACCAGCCAGAAGGACGTGAGGTGCCCTTGGTGCCGGGGCATCACCAAGCTGCCTCCGGGCTTCTCCGTGTCGCAGCTCCCCGACGACCCCGAGGTCCTGTCGGTCATCGCCATCCCGCACGCCTCCGAGCACACCCCGGTGTTCATCAAACTTCCCAGCAACGGGTGCTACATGCTGCCCCTGCCCATCGCCAAGGAGCGAGCGCTGCTGCCCGGAGACATGGGCTGCCGCCTGCTGCCCGGCAGCCAGCAGAAGCCTGTCACCGTGGTGACCATCCCGGCGGAGCAGCAGCCCCTGCAAGGCGGGGCCCCCCAGGAGGCGGCGGAGGAGGAGCCCGACCGGCGGGGCGTGGTGAAAAGCTCCACCTGGTCGGGCGTGTGCACTGTCATCCTGGTGGCCTGCGTCCTGGTCTTCCTCCTGGGCATTGTGCTGCACAACATGTCTTGCATTTCTAAGCGCTTCACTGTGATATCCTGTGGCTGAGGGGGGCTGCGGGGACGTCTCTGGTGGGTGCCAACGAGGGGCTGAGCAGGTGTTGGTGATGGGACAGAAGTGAGAAGATGAGGGCGACTCTGATCATTTGGTGCCGAATGCTGGCCTCTGGGCTGCTACTTGATTACCCCCGAGACCAAACAGGACGGGCAGGATGTGAGGTCTCGACAAGATGCCAGGCGGGTCGCTCTGAGCGTTGGTGGCAGCAGCTTTGAAGACGATTGCATGCATCCTCGTAGTCATTTATTAAATGGACTGTAATTTATGATTTTTTTCAAAATCACGTGACGAGATAGACATATTCTACTTAGATGTTGAGCTGTGCAAGTGCATACAATGTGATCTTCTCTAAATGTGGTAGATTAAAACAAAGATGCCGTGTCTACAAGTAGAAGTCAACCTGAGAATCCACGACGAATTCAGCGACGCCACGCAGTGCTGGTCTCCTTCCTTTTTAAAAAGAGACCCAGTCTTCACTTAGTTGCTAAGCCTTTTTATACTTTTTGAATGGCACCTGAATTAAAGTAAGTTAAGCGGACCGTCATTCTTGGAAGAAAATATTTGAGCAAGTGTTTCCAATGTGTTGTGTTTTGTCGTGTTCCTTCATTTTTCTTCCCTTGTAATTAGAGCTCGATACGTGTTTATTAAATTGAAGGCCCAACAGGGGAGCAATAAGCTGAGTAATGATGAGAAATGCCTAGTCCCACAGGAAAACTATATGCCAATTTTTCTCAAGCCATCTCACAAAGTAAGAATTCTAACTGTAAATACTGTGTATGTGTGTTTGTGTGTGTGTGTGTGTGTGTGTAATTTGATTTACCTCAGGTTTTGAATCTTTTCAGAAGAATCCTGGTTGGAAGACTTGGTGGGCATGAATGAGTCCAGGGTCTGAATCGGTGGCCGCCTCCTGGGCACCGGGACCCACCCAGTGGCCCACCCACTTGCTCCTGTTTGCGAGTTCAAGTCCCATGTTCTGTGAGGCACAAATAGAGAGGAACAGAGTCTGTCTTTTTTCTCAGTTTGGGGGTATTGTAATAGTCATGAGTGTTGTTAACCAATGTCAAACCTGGACTGGCATTTTAATAGACCACGGTTGTTTTTTGAAAGCTATTATTGTTCTCTGAGAGTTAAACCTTTCAGAATTCCAATTTCCTCTTGTTGTATAAGTAAGAATATCTCTTGTATATTGAAATATGTTTTTAGTGAGAAGAGTGGCAGGGTAAACCAACAACTTACATTCTCAATTCAAATGGACCAGTTTGTCCTAAATTCTCAAATATTCCTAAGTGTGCAATGGTCTGTAGATGCTCACTAAGAAAGATCTGCTAGTATTGAATGCCGAATTCCTGTGCTGGGTGAGTGCACATGCAGAAATAGCTGTGAGCTTTACAGTTCTCTTCTAATTTCTTTTATGGCATCCACGAAGCAAGTGGTATGTGACAGAGACTCCTCTCATAAAGATATATGTTTATGTTCCATTGAATCCATGAAAATAAGGGAGAGAAAGATAAGCAGTGACTGGCTCCAAAAAGCAAGGCTAGAAATAACCCCGTAAGATGGAGACAATTTAATTTACTTATATGCTAACTATGACCTTTAAGCAGCACAAAATATGCACATTAAAGAGATGGAAATTATGAAAAATGACAAGATAAGGACTAGAATCCAAAGCTAACACTGTTCATTGGTGTGAGGATTCAATACAAAAATATGAACTCTGGTTTTTCAAATCTTGCAAAATTTTCATAAGACCTTTAGGAAATGTATTTGAAAGCTCAAACTAGAAATTAGGTTAAAATGCCATTTTACCGTGTAAGCTATTGGGCATTATACAACGAATCTAGGATTTATTTGGTATTAATAATTTAGGTATCATATTAGCTAAATGCTATCCTCTATTATGTAACATAATATACTGTTGGGTTAGTGTCAGTTTCTCCAACTCAACCAGGCTGCTGTAATGCGTGTCTGACCCAATTTCTATTCCTCTTGGGGGGAAAAAAGAAACCCACAGAAATGTTGCATTAAGAACACTACATTTCAAATGGACTTTACCCTTGCAGTTTTAAGCTATGCCATGTTCCAATTAATTCTGTAAATGATATCTAAATATGTTTATGTACAGTAAGAAATGACCGGCCGTGTAGTGTAGTGTTCGATAGACTTCTATGTGTTAAGTAGGTTATATACAGACACTAATGTGTGACAGTACAGCATCCTGTGTTTCTTAGTGTAAAAATACTGAGTAAAAATATTCATGTAACTTTTACTTAAAAACAATCCGATGCTACAGCTGCAATTAAGCAGTGCAGAAGTAATCAGCTCCATGATAGATTCCTGACTTTACAGCCTAGGGTAACAATAACAACCAAAATCAGAATTTTCTGTGTGAGTCTTACTGACACAAGAAACACCGTTTGAATGCATCCTGCCTACAGTTACTTGTGCACCTGTTTGTTAGGGTGTGCATTCGTGTGTGTGTGTGTGTCTGATGTCTCAGCTTGCCAGATAGACTTTTTATAGACTTGATGTTTTAATGGCATTTAGCATTGCTCTGGCCTCTTCTGGCGTGAACCCATAACACCAACAGCTCATCTTCCCCATGTGACCAAAGTCCAGTGGCACAATCGGCCAGAATTTACAGTTGCACATCAATGAAAAAAAAAAAATCACAACTGAAAGCACAGAAAGTTAGAGCTGAAAGCAACCTCTGGTGGCTTCACTTTGTAGATGAGTCCGTTGAGGCCCACAGACTTACAGAGCTGCGTGGCAGCTTGAAATTCTGCAGCAAAAGGGAGACAAGAACTTTGCACTGCTGTTTCCTCTTATCCTTCCCAGGCCTGTCTACAGTTCTTTTGGGCTGCGCATGATCTTCAGGGTGGATGAATACCCTTTACCAACTCAACTCTTGCTTTAAAGATTTTTTTCTTTTGTAGATTTCTATAGTCATTTTCATTAGCATCTACCTCTCTGGGAAATGAGAGGAGGGTTGATTTGGGGGATGAGTATAGACGTTTAAAGGAAACCATGGAATTCGAAGAATTTTTTTAAATCGCAAACCATTGGTTCCGAACCCTCCTTCTCCCCTTCTGTGTAAAGGACAGTGAGTGTTGTGTAAATAGTCAACTATAAGAAGCATGAATTTTCATCTTTATTAATGAACTTGACATAAGCAAGAGAATGCTTAAAATGTTAAGTAGAGCCAAGTAGGCTATCAAAAAGCATTGTCTTCGGAACATTTTTGTACAATGACCTGGGGCATAAGTTGTGATGAAAAGGCGAATCAGTTCTCAGTTCCAGTCATACTTTATGATCTGAAAGCTATAAGCTATTTTCCTTAAATATATAATTAAGTTTAATCTTGCGCATGACTGAAGAGTGGATGCCTTGAAGGTTAAACTGATGCGGGTGCAGCCCTCGGGATCTTCTAGAACTTGGCACAGTTCAGTAGGACTTTCTGTGATGATGGAAATGTTATGTATCCTGTGTGGTCCAATACAGCAGCCACTAGCCAGGCTGGCTATTGGGCAGTTGAAATGGGGTGAGTTTGCCCGAGTTACCGGATTTTGTGTTTTAGTATTTAATTTTAAGTTATTTAAATGTAGTTATTCATGTGGTTAGCGGCTAACACATTGGACAGCACAATTCTGGATGGTTGCGCAATGGTATCTAGCATCACAGTGTTAGGAGTAACGGAGTAAAGCTAAGAAGGCAGTTTATGGTTTGATAGTTACATGCAGTTGGCTAAAAAAAATGAAAACTTTTCTGGGCTTAAAAAATACGTGATCTCAAGTATGACAGTAAAAATTCATTGATTGCCCTTTGGGATTATTACTTCGATACTTTGGGTCAAAGCACGATCTGTGAAGCTTAAAAAGTGCTTTATGAAGCCCCTTTTCTGGGATCATTAGCTGCATGTGAATCTATTGTCCAAAAATAGTAGTTAGACAGTAGCTGTAAAACGTTCGACTTGCAAGTTATGCATGAGCTGTAACTGTGAAAATGTGTTCAGGGTCTTGTGGCCTAAAGGTAAATGTTACTGAAAAAAAAAAAGAAAAAAAAAAGCCTGATGAAATCCCTCTTCACTTCCAACATCTTATCCAGACTTCACTGCTGCATCAGTAAGGTGTGGGGTGTAAGAGCAAGCATGTTTTACAGAGCTTGTAGAGTGTTTTTGTTTGCCCTTGAAGTCAGCCAGCTTGTCATTGTATGTGGTGTGGGCATATGTGGGTGTCATCTTTCAGTTGCCAGACTAAAACATAGGAACTATTTTTAGAGTCAGATTTGACATTGTTTTAGTCTTGTTTTTTTTTATTTTTGTTATCATTGAAAGAATTGAAGATTTGCAGCCTGGCACAGACACTTTTTTTTTAAACATTAAAAAACATTGCTCATGGAAGTTACTGAGATTGCTTTTCTAAGTGAGTAAAGGGAAGCAGGAAATTCAGTTTGATTTTATACACACACACATGCACACACACACACACACACACACACACACACACATATATAATCATAGAAAGACCAGATTCTTCCTGATAGTACAGTATTTATTCCAGTCTAGAGTTTGATTTAAAGAGTTCCCATAGCTTTATTTGAAAACTCATGTTGTTTCAAAATTGGGTAGTGTGCTTTTATTGTTTTCGAATATGACATAAACCAAGTGCATTTGCCTCCATATAGCAGAATCGAGGTCTGCCCCCCCCCCC